TGACCACACTCAGCTGGCAGCAACATAAAAAGGTGCACAAAGTGAATTTTGCTCTCCTTGGTTACTGCGCCAGGCAGAGCTCAGTTACTTTCTATGTGTCACTTCTGAACTGGGCTCCCACATTCAGTAATTTCTGGTGATGAGCTGACATTTCTCTTTTACACTTGCCTTCTTTATGCTCCAGCAGAGATGCTGGCTAGCTTTAGCACCTTCATGCTGACAAGAGATGGAAAAGTAGTTCCATCTGAATTAGGAGAGTTTATATATTTCATGCTCAAGACTTATTAGGAGAGTTTATATATTTCATGCTCAAGACTAAGTCTAAGTGTCCAGAACAGAAGATACTTTCAGCAAAGACTTTTTTAAATTGTTACTATTTTTACTATAACCTCACATGATGTGTAATGCCCTAACTAATTGGAGAGCAGCAGAGATCATAGCAAATAATACTTTCATCATGCAGCTCTTTGAATTCCTGCAATCTTATTTTGGCAGTGCTTGCACTTGCCTGTTTTGGAGGATCATACTGCCTCCATTTTAGCAATATGAAGCTCAGTTCAGGTCAGAAAACAGTACGGTCCTGCTACCGTCATATTTTCTCAGATCAGTAACCTCAGCATGTTTGATACTCAGGAAACCACTTGTGCTATAGCGAATGGATCTAGTACAAACATGAATTAACAGAAAGACTATTCAGACCATTAACATCAATCATACTCTCCTTTTTGTTATTAAATGTTGCCTTCATAATTACAGTATGTTCTGCCAGTTGCATGCAGGAAATGCAGATACTTTCTTCATTCTTATCCATTGCTCCCACTTTGCAGTGATAAAGCAGTTCTTTGAATGGTTTCAGGGTTTATTCCACAATTTCGTGTGGAATTCAAATTGTCTAACAGATGGCATTGTCATCATTTTTCCTTCCCTAAAGAATGGAAAAGAACAAACACTTGACATTTCCAATACGTTTTTATCTAATGCAAGAATTTTTAGAAGCCATAAAAGAGTGTTATCTGCTTTGCATTGGAGAGATGGGCAGAACTGTTAAATGTATCCTATCTACTGTCCTACACTAGCAACATTTCATCTGCATTTAAAACAGATGCATGACCTTATCTTCAACATGGTTGCATTTTCTTTTTCTCTGTCTGCAGTAAAGCATGAACTTGCAACGCTAGAGTTATTTCAGCACAAGGAGTATAGAATTTTCATTAGAGAAATTAGAGCTGCTAAAGTACCTAGAAATCAGTTCACATTTACAAACGTACAGCAGATGCATGATTTGGCAGAAGATTTCTGCAGTTAGTAATTTGCTATTCATCAGGGATTGCCTCTTAAATCTGTGTGATCCAAGCTAGGGGGCAGATGACATAGAAGGATAAATTTAGACATGGCTGAAAACAATTATTTTGATTAATCCTCCAGCCAATGAGAGTAAGATTCCTCCTATCCCTCCTCTTCCCCTCCACCATAAAGAAGGGGGAGAATGTACAAGTGTAACTTCTCCTTGTTTTAAATGTAGTGTGTGTTTTAGTTTAGCTTTTGCAGCTAGAGAATCTGCTCAATGCAGCAGAGGTTATCTTTTTACTTGACTGTGATACCTTGCTTCAATGTCAGCATCAGTTTAGTGCTGAAGAAGGTGCTAGGTGTAAAATAGTGAAGCTCTCTTTGGCTGTGAAAGAGAAATAGTATCTATAAAAAGTGGCCTGTACCAGACCTTCCTGTCCAATAGGAGATACCCTCGGGCTGAGTGAGCTACTTCTGCTGAGAAATGCTATCTTCTTTCTTAAATCTTTGCGGTGAAATGAACTTTCTGAGCATGTGATGTAGCATGTTTTCCCAATAGCAGTTGGTTGGCAACCACTTTCACTTGCTGTCAGCCTTGTACCTAGCTGGTAACCAGCAATCAAGTTCTTGCCTGGCCTTCTCAGGCTCCTGTGCTGTTCTGCTGCTCTGTCCTTCCAGCCCCTCACAGCTTGGAGAATGTTTCCACGTATTGGGGCGACAGGGCTGTTTGTCCAGTCCAATACGTAGGCTCACTGAAAGAAGCTGTACAGTGATGACAGCTAGCCTTTTCAAAAACTATCCACAAAAGCATCATTTAACCAATTAGAGCCGTTTTATTAGAAACAAAATAACGTTAATCTTGGCTGACAAACTTATATCCTCTCAGCTTCAGCTTGCTGTGATTATAAACAGCTCTGTTTGTAAAAAAAAAAAAAAAAAAACAGAGATAAAATAGCCCTTTTTTTAGTGGCTGTCCATACGTATCACTTCTAATTGCAAATTCTTTATGAATAGTTGTTTCTTTTGGGTTTGTGCTTCCATGTATGTAATTTCAGCACCGCTGTTGCTGAAGGCTAGAAGATATCAGTATCCGTAAGTTGTTTTGCAATTCCTTTTTGCTCGTTTCTTTTTGGTGTGGATTTGGAGTGGGAGGGTTGTTTAATTTTTACATGAAACAAACTTTAGAAGCGTTTTCTTCCTTAGCTGCTCAATGTGACTAGTGCTTCTACTTGCAGTTTAATTGTGCTAGGTGATAGATGGTCAGAGCTGGAGGTGGAAGGGTGGTTGGAAAATCAAGCTGAAGGGTGGTAAGCCACAATATTGTAAGATTTAATTACAAGCACTTTGAAAATAGGAAATTTTATTTTATTTGCTCTGTGGTAACTCTTGAGACTTGACTGCCACCAACTGCAAGCCTGTCTGTGACTGACAACACAATTCTAGCCAAAGCAACCAAAAATAATCCAGGATTTAAGTCACTTTTGTCTTTTTATAACTTAATATTGTCACAAATAAAAGCTAGTGTAAAATGTAGGCGAATTGGACTCTCTTCATAGGTAGCCTAGGATGAATTGGACAGCTCTGGGTGAAGGCATAACAAGAAAGCACTGAATGAAGCTGTCTTCAGGTATTCTTGCTCCAAATTAAACAGGATTAGCTCTTTTTCAGTTTTTTGTTCGTTACCTTCTGCAGCTGGTTAAGTTTTTATACTCCTGGATCCTTTTTCGAGTAAGGGGGCTGCCAGAGGGAGGAGAGGGAAGGATTAACATTTTTTTTAAAACCTCACTCGTTCTCATGGAAGAACCTTAATAAACGAAGAGGCAAAATTGTTAACTGGTCTTGGTCAGAAAAGGTGTTGAACCCTCCTCTGCTGCTGGCCAAGCAGATTTAGAACAGTTAGGATTTTTCTCACTTAAGCACCGGTAGATGCTGGTTTAATCTTTCGCTCTTGAGTTGCCTCCTGTCACTGATCTCACTACTCCCCTCTTGGTGAGAGAGGAAGGAAGTAACATTTTGCCAATGTAGGATGTAGAAGCAGGCTATCTTTTCCTAAAAGTCCCTATATTTCTTTTTAGGCCTTTTCTTCTGAGAATTACGGTGGTAGCATCAAAGCCCTGATCAGTTCTGTTAGCTTCCCAGGACTGCAGTAACATTAGCAAAGTGGACCTGCAGCATCAGAAACTTCGGCAAGAATGTTCTTCCTTTATTACTGATTACAGTTTTTATTTAGTAGTAGTAGGCACTACTGGTGTCTATGGCAGGTGTCTCAGCATCACAACACTGCAGCACAGTAGATCTGCTTGGGGCTTTTTTTATTAGTGTCTTTTTTGAAAACTCTTCTAGAAAACTTGTGTATTTTCAGGACAGGCAGGAAAGTCAAGCTACATTAGCTTGTAAAGTGGATTAGTCATTAAACACCTTTGTGGACATTTTAATTCAGAATTAAACAGGCTTTAATTGGATTTAGCTCACTTTGCTTCCAAAGTAAATTCAGGTAAATCAAATTAGGTTTAATTCAGTGTAAGGGCAAGGGCAGACATCCTCATTAAGGGCTGCCTGGATCGACTGAAAACACAATTGCCTGGCTGCTCCTTGACACCCTCCTGCTCCCGTTGTGTTCCTACTATGTTCCCACAGCTCCCCAGAAGGAAAGGGGTGCTCTCTAGTCTCCTGCAGTAAGAGGTCATTTCAGATTAGTTCTCACTTTGACTAGCAGTTCAGTTGCTGACTACGTTGGCACGTACAGGAAAGGCAGTCGTGTTCCACTTTGGTTCTGCAGTGAGGAGCATAGCCTTCAGCTGTCGCTGTAACAAGTAGCGGGGAAACAGTAACACCATAAGCAGCTCTGGCTATTCGCAAAGTGAATCTGTGCCTAGGTTAGTGGAATATATGCACTCAGACTGCCTTGCAGCCCTTATTGAAGGGTCATAACTGTTGAGATGCAATACTGTCTTTTGGTGATGCTAGAAAAACAGCTTTGTGATTTGATGGACTATCTGCCTTCCTACTTTTCAAAGGAAACTTCAGGAGCAGCAGACTGAATATAGATAGAAACAGCAAACCAGCTACTCGTTACAGCTGCAGCAGCTACAGCATCTTTGGAAGAACAAAAGAGATTCTGTAAACTGTAATTCCACAACCCAAGCTTAGGTTTGTTTCTTAAAAGGACAGGTCTTTTAAAGGAGGGGGATTTGTACCCTAATAGACCGAGGGTCAATACTAAAGTAAAGAAAAAGGAGATGAGTTCTCCTAAAAATGTATCATCATCTAAAAATGAGGTATGTTAGACAAAGCAGAAGATAATGAATGTTTTGACGCTTTTATCAGGCTTGTTTCAAAGGCATTTCACTGATAAAAAGTTAACACTGAAGCCTATTACAGAGTACAAAATGAATTCAATCCTACTGTTTCCAGCTGTGACCATGTAACCTTCCATTTGCAAAGCAGTATCAGACTAAGCAAAGACCCAGGCGATGGCTCTCTGAGAAAAGCTGAAGTGCTCCAGAAGGTGTTAGTGAAATAGTGACCCAGCTTTTGTGGCACAGGCAATCTGTGGTCTCATGCTCCCTCTTTGATAAATGCTTGCTAGATAGTAATCGTCCCTCCTCTGATGGCACTAAATGCAGTTCATTCATGATGATGAATACAGTTCCAGTAATCCAAATGACTTTCATTTTTCTCCTTTTTTTTTCTTTTTTTTTTTTTTTTGACAGGAAGCCTCTTATTTGCCAGATGTTGATACATTGCCTAGACTGGACAGTATGAGAAATGAGATGCTGCTTATGACAATTTGGTTGTCGAGTTGTGGCCGTGTAGCTGCAGATCAATACAGCGGGCAGGTGCCTAACATGGTGCTGACAGCAGCCAATATCTACCAGATCCTTGTGGCATGGCTTCTTTCTCTGGTAAGTACATGCAGTGACAGTGTGCAAGAGGTGGTGCATTACTAAAGGTGTATTTTGCCCTCCAGTGAGTATATCATTCTAGAAATCTCCTTCTTCCAACAGATATAAGAGTGGGCTAAACAAAGGAGAAATTATGTCCTAACTTGCCTTGAAATCCATAAATGAAAGTCTTACTGATTTCAGTGGGTGCTGGAATATGCCTATAGTTTACAAAGACCATGACACAGAAGTCGATGGGAACAGACTTGAAGTAATCAGAATTGACTGAAAATAGAGGGCTGAGTATTATACTTGTCCTCTGCAAAAGAAGTGAATGTAGACAGGTGCCTATTTCTTACCGCTTGGTTTGATTAAGAGTAGATCCTTTCCAATAGTCAAAAGAGGTCTATAAACAAGTGGTGGCCTGTTTAATCTTAATTGTCCTTTGGATCACGTCTCTTTCTCCCCTAAAGAAATCTGCTTTTCCTCACTCTTCCCATTCATCCTATGCTAGTCTTCTCGTGGAAGGCAAGCAGGCAATGTCTTTTCCTTTTTCCCACTTATGTGTTGGCCTTGTTCTTTTCCCCATTATAGACATCAGTGTACCGATCTGTGCACTCAAGGAAAATTTCATCCTGTGCAGACAGCCTGCACAAGGCTTTTAAATCGCTTAAACTCCACTTAAGCAATATGAATTATTAATGATGCTCACACTTCCATTAAAACATTGCTAACATTCTTTAATGTTCAGTGCTAATGAAAATTGTCACTTGATCAGCCTCAGAGTCTGAATCTTCTATTCAGAAAGCAGCTCATAGGCAGTACTGTGCGAGCTTTCTTCCCTTGAGTTATTCCTGCTATAAAGCCTGAACTCGAAGCAGCTTTCTCGAAGGCTGAAAGGACATCTCTGCTTGTGGAGCTCCATGTCACTCTACTGAGGCTGCAGGGCCAAATGTCACGATGGACTTTGTGCCTGATAGAAACTGGAATGAAATACACCAATTCATTTCAAACAGATCCCCTAGCAGCTGTTGGCCAGCAATGACAAAAAAGGCCTGCATTTCTTTTTAAAAACAAACACACACAGTTGAAAAGTTAAACCATTTCAGACCAATTTCTCATGTGGTTTAAACCTCTAACTCCACCAATTCACTGGTTTTCTGGCTTGTGTAAATGAACATAACTTTGTCTTTGCTGGAGATACAGTGGTTTATACCAGCTATGAACACGATCCTCCGAATGTAAGCATTCCCCAGTGGCAGAGCTGCTATAGAAATTCCCTTGTGAAAGTAGTGATCCCAGCAGTCAAGCACGTTTTAGTGCTATTTTGAGTGATACATCTGACCTATAAAACAGTTCGAAAATGCAACCAAGACTTGTGTTGAGAACGTGTTTTTAAAGGCATTTGTCTCACTGTAAATGGTTTTGTTTTATATATGCAATAAATACCAGGGCTGTAAATTCATCTAGAGATCATGGTGATGGTATAAACCGTGAGAACAAAGTTTAAGTGCTTTGTGTGTTCACCAGAACCCTGGGAAGGAATCATAGCCCTGTAATTCAAACTTACCTGTCTTGTCTTTTCATATAATATGTGATCTGGTTCTCATCTCACATGGCTGCTGTTCCTTTCTCATGGCTTTGCTAGTTAACTATGTCTTTATTTTCCCATAGCCCTCTCCCCTCTTTCACCTGCTATCCAAGTCTCAGGCTGTTTTTCAGCACTACGGTGCCTTCCCAGTCTGTTTCAGGTATCTTTCCTTTCTCTTTTCTATATGGTAACGAGGTTTCTCATGTATTCTATATACTAAAATGCATCATGTTTCAGCTTGACTTTGAGCCTTGAGCCAATGAGCGATCTATGCATCTGGAACGCTATTTCTGGAGCTAAACTGATATTCATGATAAACAATGCCTAGTGTTCATCTTGGGGTTGGCAGAAGTCGCTTCCTATCCTTCTTATTTGGGATCAAATCTGTATATTGGAAAATAGAATGCTTGCCTCCCACTCGTGCACACAAAAATAAGATCTGTCAAAAAGAAACCACGTCAGTCTAACTAAAAGGTGGAATCACTGGATAGGGATTGATGGAGTTTTGGCTATTAGTGATCACTAATGGGGAGGATGAGGGCTATTAAAGAAACCTGTACTAGCTCCTTAGAAAGGCATAAGCACTTAGCATTGATTTTGAACTGAGATTGTGTTGATCTCATTATCATTAATAAAGGCAGCACACTACCACTGTGGTGAAAATATGCAGTGCAGTGTTGACAGGGACTCCGTTCTCATTTCTTGCTAGACTAGGGACCTGATATGACCTCTTGCTTTCACATAGCTGGCTGAATTCAGAGCTTGCAAGTTATGAGAGTCCTCACTGAGAAAATAAATCCTATGACTTATCAAAACCTACATGTTATTCCTATTTAATTTGGTCTTTATTGAGTTTCTGCTGGCTAAACCATAGCTAATCCACTAATCAAGCTAGAGCACTCCCTGGATTATTGTACATTGTGTATCTCTACTCAAAAGCAACAGTGTGAGAGGAAGGGTTATTTTCAGTCTCTAACTACAGCTGTCTGAAAATGAAATTATGTTCAAATGGATTTACAGGTGCCTCCTGTGAAAACGACAGGTGAGACCAAAGCTCCATTTCAGGTGGTAGGACTGCAACAGGCCTGGCAAGAGGATGGCTTGGCCCTGTATGCTTGCCTAATGCCAGCAGATGAATCTCCAGCCCAGAACAGCCCCAAGATCTGGAAGATTAAAGTGAGTAGCAGCACTTAGACTTGCTAGTCATGCAGAGCTGCCATGGGCATGTAGGATTGTTACTTACTAAGGACCAGGCTTGGATATGCCAATTCAAGATCAGACTTCAGTGAACCAGGATAGAGTGGCACTTATGCCTAATTATAATGGGAGAGCAGCCCAGGATTGTGCAAACAGAAAGATGAACCTTGTGGGAGCAGTGCACAAATGTGACTGGAAGCGTATCTTTGACATGCATTATGTTTTTGCTTTTGTATTTTAACCATGTGAGGAGTGCAGTCTAGGAGAGGGAATATTGTCTTGCCATTCAGTTCCCAAGAGTCAAGGCCTGCATATGGGACCTGAGACTCCATTCCCTCAGAGCTGGTAGACTAATGAGTTTGTGCTGTGCGATAAAGCATCAAGCTGAAAGGTCCTCATCTAGTAGGTGTAGGTGGCACACTGTGATGTAGGGCATGATTCTGGCTTGTGTCCTGGAAACAGCAGAGCTATGAAATAGCAGCTCTGGGCCCTTATTTGTTAGTTCTGTCTTTCAACAAAACTAATCTGAGCAGGTTAAACTCTGAGCGTCCTGATGCATCTGTTCTATTTTCCGTTTTGGAGACAGCTTGTTAGGTATTACCCTGAGACCTACTCTGGCCTTGCTATCCTTGCCTGCTGTAGATACTTACAGAAACCAACGTGTAGTATAGCTGACTTGCTGGAATATGTACCCAGGTATATCTGAGGAACGATGATCTTTGTGTACCTGAGATCTCCTCTGGATCACTCACTTGAATAATCATCCTGTTTATTCAGTAATCTTTGCTGAGACGCTGTGGCCCTGTGCCCTGTAAGGACTGGTGAGTTCTCAAGTGGTTCAAAGTGGCATGTGTGACGTTGGTGAGCTTGTAGTGGATTTTCTACTCCTGGGGCGGTTTGACTGGCTCACTCTGACAACTGCACTGTCTCTGCATCCTTATTTACTGTCTGGTAATGTGAACAGCAATGTGATATGATAGACGTGATAATGCTTGGTGTTTCCTCTATGCCAAAACGATTCCATTGGATCCAGTAGCAGGTGGTCTTAGGGTGGCCCCCAGGTATTCTAATTCACACCTGCTGAGTGTGAATGAAAGAGAAGGTGTAAACGTGTTTTAAAAACACACTTACACTTCCCCTGTTCAGCTGCAGCAAGCATTCTTCATCTGCAGCTGCCTGTCTATGAGCAGTAAAGATTAAATTTCCCATGATGTATCATGAAGCCTAAAATGTGACAGCTGTGGCTCCAGTGCTCCTGCAAGCAAATGATTGATGCTAGCAACAAATATAATGATTAAAACACTTGGGGGAAAAAAAAACACAATAAGCAACCTTTCTGACAGTGTCTGGGCACCTGTGGACAGAAGCAGCAGAGCTAATGAGTCTCAGCAGCCTGTTAGCCTGGCCAAGGGCTTAATGGTGATTTCTCTCTCTGGCACCTGGATTCAAGATATTTTCTATGGCACAAAGAAGGAGGAGGAACAGAGGCTGACCTGTCTTCTGCCCATTTGCCTTGTTGCTATCTGCTTATTCCAGCTGAAGAGCTGGCCAAAGCATCAAAATTACTGAGCACTGAATATGCTTAAAATAGGTATCTAGTGTCTTGTAAATGAGCGAACTTTTCAAGCTACAGGCTCAGGCAGCTCTAACATTTGGTTGGAGCTGGGCAGGGTTGTGTTACAGGTTGGCAGAACATGCCTTAGAGAGCTTCCAGGCTGCATGTAAATTGTGATGCTACTTCTGCTGATCCATTTACAGACGCTGACATTGCTGTGGAGTTCAGCTAATGCGCACTGCAGTGAACATGCATGGCATTTGGACAGTGTTCTTCAAAGCCAGACTATGTACAACTGAGGTTTCCTCTCATTAGAGGCTCTATCATGTGCCTTTGCAATAACAATGACTTTTATCGTTTCTGCGTTCTTGTGGCATTTGTAAAGGTGCTACTCTCTCCTCTTCAGATATCTAAGCTGATGGGAACCACAAAAGTCCTTCAGAAATGTCAGCCACAGCAGGGACAAGAAAAACGACAGCACCTAGTCCTGTCTCCTCATTCCTCCCCTTGAGCAGCTTCAGCTGTTTTGTAGAGAAATTTGGTGGATTTTACTCTCCAGACTCAAATCTCTTGGTATAGTGTTAATGAACAATGGTTGAATCAGTTAACGATATCCTTCTGTTGCAACACTTAACAATTCTTGTTCTAGTTGTCTCCTATTAGCATAATGAGAATCAGTTACCAGGGCTTAGCTCCAAAATATGAATATCAGGAAAAATACCTGGGGTTCCGGGAGTTCTTGTTGCAGCTGTTGGCTATAAGAATATAGGAAAATTTTAATTATGTTTTTTTTAGATTATGTATGAAAAGACGTACTAAGTAGACTAAACATTAACCAGTAGAATGATGACAAATTGACCTTTTAGTGGTCTTAATGTGAAGAGTACAGAGTTAGATACATACTGATTGTGCAACATATTAGATACAAGTTAGTGCCTGTTTGATACCAGGAGATAAATGACCATCTTTCTATGTGTATCTTGTATCTCATGATAGGAGCAAAATGGCTGATGTCCATGGAGCCCTACAATTGATTTTTTTGGGGATAATAATTTGAATATGATTTTTACAGCAGGTGTTGGATTGCTAGTCTAAGAGTCTAAGGACGTACCTGTATCAACAGAGCAAGGTTTCACTTTACCCAGCTTGTCCTGTCGACACTTCCCAGTGCTTGTGTGTTGGAACATCCTGAGAGCATTTATCAGCCTTATTGGCTTTTGGACAATTTGCCCCTATGGCTTGTTGCCTGCTATAGTGCTGAAGCTCTTAATGATACTGGGGTGCAGTCCATCACAGAGAACTGGACCAAGACAACCTGCTTACCTCATGTAGCTATAGGTTGTTGGTGATTTCCAGTTACTAGTAAATGGAGCTGAGCTACATTCTAGTCCTCTAATCCATCAATATTTTATTTATTAGCCATTTTACTGTCAGCTGTCTCTTTTATTATTTGTCATATTTTATTTCTCCAACCCAAGGTCTAATGGTTTATGAATACAAATATAATAATGCTTTCTCAAGGAAAGAGCTCCTGTCCTCAAGCAAGTTGAGTTTTGGCTCATTCAACCATGATGACATCTATTCGTATAAATTGAGCTGCTGTACAATGTTTTCTCCCCTTATTGTCAGTTTTTTGGGTTTTCATTTGGGCTTTTTATTCTGTCCTCCCTCCAGACAGCAGATTGAAATGAGACAAATTTAAACGTGCCTACCTGGCTTTGCTTTCCTGAGTTGTTGTCAGAACAAACGCCCATACACGCACCTCTTGTACTTTTTGCATGCTGATAAACAAGCTTCATTTACAGGCATATGTGGTGGGAATTAGATGTGTATGGAGTATGCTTTCTGAGAATCTACTCACCATTCCCAATTAGGCAGACTAGCACAAAACAGGGCAGCGTGGTTCTTTTCTGCACACTTTGGTCACTTAACAGTTCTGTGGTGGTTTAAAACAATTTGTGATATCTGTCGTTGGATTTGGGAGTTTTTGGAGGCTTCTACTATTCGGGCTTTAGTTTCTAGGTAGCTTAGAGGGGAGGCTAAACTATGGAAAGTTGTATTTTAGCATCATCGTGCAGTATTCAATAACAACCTTAAAAATTTTGAGACTGATAAAGCTGTTCAATTATGTAAAATATCCCTGTGAAACCATTAGCAAATTGATGTTATATTATATTAGGCTGATTTATGGTCCTGTTTATGGTATTTTCTCCCTCTTCCACTTGGTTTATGAGAATCTCTGGTTATAATTACAGGGACTTTACCTTCATAAAAGATTTATTCAGGAGACACATTCCACAGGGCTGCAGAACAAATGGGATGTCCTTGGCCCCCCAAAATTACCTTTGATAGAAGAATGTTGGGAAGTAAAAATCCTGCCTAATGGATGGCATGCGCCAGTAATTTTAACCTTTTGAGCATCCAGATGACTTCTGCAGAGCAAAAACTTGGCGGTACCAGCTGCACTTTCCTCATCCATCCCAGCTCTCCTTTAACAGTGGCCACTTCCTTCCTTCCTTAACTTAATGTACGGGTCATGAGACTGTGGAATGCAAACTGCTTCAGAATAATACATGTGGGGCTGATGGATGTCATGGGTCAGTTATTTTATACCAGCACTTTGTAACCAGTTGAAGATTGCTGTTAACTCTCCAACCAAGTTCTATATCCAAGCCATCTGTTTCAAGCGCCCTAGTGAAAGGGCAATGCTGCTAATCTCCCCAGTGGTCTTTACCAAGGGAGATTTTCTTTGAGTCAAGTCTATGTGGAGGCAGTCCCGTAGTCATAGGGTGAGTGCTTCCACACAGTCAGCTGATGAGTTACTGTTGCAGACAGCATCTACTCTCAAGGGCTCAGTCAGTATCAGGACTGACTTTGGATCTGAGATGAGAGACTTGGCAGGGTGACAGCAGGATCATGTGAAGAGTGTACTTTCTATGGGTGAGAGGACAAGGTTAGAGCTCTGGTGGTAGGGATGCAGGGTTTGATGGTTTGGGAAGCTGAGGGGTGTTAAGTTAGGGTTTTGACTTGGAGAATTTGAAGTGCACTTGCATTGGAGATACACAAGGTGTGAGGTTGGGATTGTTTCTGTAGGGCAGAGGGAATGGAGAAAGCTGCCGCAGGTACATGACACAGGACAGGGAGCTATTGAGGCCATCAATGATGGGTTTTAACCGTTGACTCTTTGCAGGCTAAAGAAGATCTTCAAAGAACATCCACTTTTTACCAGAAGATCTCTGCATTTCTATCCCGTACATGGCTTCCAGATGTTATCTGGTGGAGGGCAGAACTGGTCAATCACTTCCAAAACCAGCCATACCTACTTCTTCCTGAAATTCCTTCAGTCCTGCTCAGTTACATCACTGCTGTTAATCCTGATCCTCAGGTACTGTACACAAATGCTTGGACTTCTGATATTTTTTTCTCATTAGATCCAGTAAAAGTTGTTGTTCTTCCTGTGTTACAGATAGTTTCCTTTGGTTTAGTTACTGATTTAAACTCAGTTTGAAAAAAATGCTTCTAATCAGTGTTGCTTACCACTGAAGAGTGTGAGATTACAAGTACATAACAGCTCTTAAAATCAAGTGCTTAGAATCGTTTGCCTGCTTAGAGAAGCCTGGAAGGACGTTCACCTCATGCTGTCTATGAGTAGAATGATAATTAACTTTTTAGATTGTGCTCCATAAATATTTAAGTGAATGAAATGTTACAAGAATTCATATACTTCTGGCTTATCGCGGGAGTTTATTCCTTGAGGGCATCTAGTATTGCTTTTAGGCCTCTAAGTACTGAACAGCCTGTCCTACCTTAGTGTAAATATTCATACCATTTTTCAGTGAAGCACTGAGTACTTTTGAGGGAGTGTTCCATTTATTCCTTTCCCATAATATCACCAATCTTTAATCAATCATGGTCTTTTTCCAAAATTCTTAAGTCAACAAAAACCTTGACACGCAATTCCAGGGAATGGTGAACACTGCAACTCAGGTTCACATCCAAACCCAATTGCTCTGAAATAATGTAGCATGAGAACTCTTCTGCATTTTCAACCAGATTTGGGGATTAATCTTACTCTGCAAATCAATGCCATGAAAGCTTAGGGGCTTAACAGTGCACTTAGCGATTTGCCTGAAGTTTTATCCCTTCTATGAAGGAAAAGGAGGCTTAAAATTGTTGATTTGCAGTCACTGCAGCTTTCAAGTACAGGCAAGCGCTATAAAGCAGTCTGACATACTTGTGAAAGGTAAATCTGCTGTACATTTGCAAGGCATAAAGTACAGCCTCCTTTAAAACGGTCAGGGTCTTTATGCGTCTCCCTTATTAGGGGAATTATAAATCATTAGAAATTGAACAGCAAGATAGGAGACGCTTTCTGAGGGTGAATCTTTGCCTTGGTGCCACAGAAAAACTGAAATCAATTTAAAGACCACATTCTCTTCCTAGGTTTAAATGCTCAATGCCACTCAGGTTCAAGGCCAGAATTACACCGAGACCACTAGGAATAATGGCTTCTTGACATACGTATCTTGCAGTTAAACAAAAAGGCTGTCTTCTCTGAGCAAGCTGCAATGATCCAGACTCTCAGGGGACAGCAGCTAACCCTGTTGCCTGCCCTGAGGCTTTACCAATTGGTACCAACTGAGAATGTTCCCAAGTATCATTAAAAAGCAACCCTATTAGTGGTGCATAGAAAATGCAGTATCATTTTCAGTTAACTTTATCAGATTGAAAATTTTGCACAAGGCCAGTGATCCATGTGTGTTATATATATTGCAGTAGTGTACGCAAACCTAAGTAGACGAAGTATCCTGCTACTGTGTGTTGGAAAGCATGCAGCGAGCACCCATTTTTGCTCCAAGCAGTTTACTGTCCAAGACGCGAGTCGTGACAGTTGGAGGAAACAAACAGGCAGGAGTAGAGGGAAGGGGAACGTGAGGTAAAACTGCAATTTACTTGTGTGCTGATGAGCTCTGTGTGTGGTTTATAAGCAACTGGTAGCAGTAACAGTAATAAGCTTTAAGCACGTTGTTTGCTAGAGTGAGCCAACATCTTGTATTCAGTCAGTTGTCTAGTGGTTTCTCAGTCTGTTCTGAACCCCAAATAGATTGCTTTTCTCTTGCTGTCCTGCATAGGCTGTACGTATAGCCTATTAATCTGCAGTACTTCGCTTTGGAAATGAAAAGTAAACTCTCAACACAGTCATTAAAATCCCAGGTTAGGTTAGGAGCAACATAATCCCTGTGGAGGTTATTAGCTACATCATCCCTCGTCAGCAAAAAGAGGATTGCTTCATTTTAACATAAGGTAAATGTAAGTACTTTCTCCTGTTAAGCCTTAGCATGTAAGCATTAACCCTGGGGACACAGACAACATATGTAGCCATCACTGATCCTTTTTTGCCTCCACCTGTTCCTCCTGCTAAAGCATACAGGATTTCTCTCACTCTGTCTCCAGTGTTCTGAACACCTGGACCCTTGTCCAAAGGGTGCATCTCTAACACTCACTGCTTGCTACCCTTCTGGTTGCTTTCCAGAGCATCTCATTGAACTCCCAACCCATACAGGTGCCTGTCATGACAGAGGAGTCGGGGATAGCAGCATGGGGTGGGCAAACATGTCAGAGTGAGGTTTCAAGGAGGAAGGGAGTCTCCACCTCTTGAGATGAATGAGAAAATTTTTTAGCTCCAGCAAATTGATTTTGTTGCACCTCCTGATGATTGGAAGTCTCACGCTTACTTGCCCAGAGTGCTTTGTTGGTCATTTCCCTGCTGACTTCCAGCACAAGGGTTATGTTTTCTTCTTTGAGACAACAGTACTGATTAATGGCAGGGCTGCATCAAGTTCCTGCCTTGCAGTTGACTCAGACAAGGCTCCATTTAATTTTTTGATACAATTTTTTGTGAATGTAGATAAGAATTCCGGAACTGGGTCCAGGGGACCAAGTTTGTCCTGATATCGTAACTCAATGCTGCTAAAAAAACTTTAAACAGCATAGACTGAACTAACGAGAAGTTTGATGTACAGAAGGGGACTTGCAGAAAGTATAGCAGTTCTGTACTGTGGTATTTCTGTAACACTTTGATGCAGACTTTTGGAATTTCCCTGCTAGTGTCACCAGAAGAGCTGTATACACACACCTCACCACCAACAACAGTAACAATACCACAAAGCTTTGAAAAGTGCAAACTTCTTTTTAAAGACTGAAATAAGCATGCAGCTGTAACAGAAGAGCAGTGCATTGCTGATGAAATTGGAAATCACTGTTTCATGCTGTGGAAACATAGGCCCAGATTCATCACATGTTAGTTTGTGCACTTAGGGCACCTGCTTTAGATATGCAATTGCCCTAAGCTCTGCATGTAGTCTTTCCAGAGGGAGTGAGAGGCATCCCCAGAGGGGTGATTCAGATCCATCACTGGTGACAGCATCCACAATGTGACCCTTCTGCTGATTCAGGCACTGAAGTTAACTGCCCTAGTTGGGATTCATTAATTTTCTAAAGAGTATGGAGAGAGGGAAGCTGCTTGACATGAGAATTCTGAGACTTTGAAAAATCTCCCAAGAGAAGCAGCCAGAAACACCACTTGCAACATTCACAAGAAGAGTAGGAAAAAAATATCTAGCAAGAAACTAAGGTGTTCCAGCAGAATGAGCCAGATCAAGTAGTGAGGCTTTTCAGGCTCTTCACTTCTCTGACTAGCATTGAGGAAGCTCTTTCCAAAGGAAAACATACTAGTGGAACCAGAATCTACTAGTGGAAAAGCCTGGGGAAAAAAAGATTTGCAACATGGATGAAAATAATCCTTAGCGCTTCCATTTCCTCATAAGTGTGATGTTCTTGCTCCATTCCAGAGAATACAGTCTGTAAGACATGCACATTTGACATTTGAAGACATTTGAATCTGTTTTCCTAGCATAGGCTTGGCAAGGAGACCCAGAGCTTTAGTGTTTGAATGCTGTCACATTGTTTCACTGACAAGCATCATAGCCTTACACCTGTTGAGTGGCTTCAGCATCTTCCACTGTCTTTTACTGTAACTTTTTTTAACACCACTGCTAATGAGAGGCTTGCTCAGAGAACTACTGCTTGCCGCATCAGCATCTCACCTTCACCTGACTGTCTTCAGGCCCTTGGCTGTGAGGTCACTGCCTGCCATACACAAACTCAATTGTAGTAACTAATGTGTATGTTCTGGTTCAATACCTCAAAGATGTTGGCAGTTTTGCTGTTCTGTTTTTGTTGTATTACCCTATGTGTTCTCTCTTTTTTCTCCTTTCGTGCTGTCTGAGAAGCAAACTGGCAACACCAAGTGAGGCTATGTAATGTTTCATGGATATAATACAGCCTGAGCTACCTGAAGTGCAACACAGTTTGACCAGCTGTCAGATCTGATCCACATGTTGCTGTAAGCTGTCACGTTCAGTGTATGGCTCAGGCCCATGTTTTCCTTCCCTGAAATTTCTGCTGAGCCTGATGCTAAAGCTTGAAGGATATGACTGCTGAGCAGCTGAACTGGGCATTAGAGCCCTAGTTTAATATGCAGGTGGTGAGAAACACCCAAAACAGCACCTCCATACGTCTGCTTCTCCGACCGAGAGCCAGGAGGTTGCTGAGGCTTGCAGCATGTCAGATGTTGCCCCTTAAGAAACCTGGACTGTTTGAACTCTAGGCTGAAGCTGTAAAGCAGGAGGGCTGCTCATCCATAGCAGATGTCCTTTGCTTTCCAAATCTTGCTCCTATCTCATCTTTACTGGAGTTGGTGCTAAGGATCAGGCCCTTGTGTGTCTGGCACCCTGAATCTGCCATGCAGCCTGATAAAGCCCTATCAACAGCTTTGGCAAGAGCACTAACATGCATACCACGCCATCTGACTGATGAGTCCACGTGGAGATGACTCACCCGTGGGTGAGACATTTGTCCTGGGGCCTCTTCTGTATGAATTTACAGAAATGTATCCACAGTTGCAGAGAGAGAATAGTTGCGTGGCTGTGTCTCAGAGAGCCGTCTTCGTGGGGGTGGAAGGCAGAAGGGAGAAGGTGACATCCTGCCCCTAGCTGAGTCTGTTGGAGTTCACCATTGATGTTAGCAGGGCCAGGAGTTCTTTCTGTCTTTGGCATTTGTAATTAAAAAACCTGACCTTTAAAATGAGAAAGCGCTACAGTAATGTTTGCCTGAGTTGGCACAGAGTTGAAGACTTAGCTTGGGGAGGAGTGAACCATTATAGTTGTTTGTTCTTGCTAAAATTTGATAGCTCACATTTAAGTTGTGACCATCACTAATTATTCCAGAAGAGAGCAGTTTAAAAGAACTATCGAGCTAATGTGCTTAGCCATTAGTACTGTGCATGATGGTAGATAATAGGCAGAAAGAGTGAAAGTCAGTCTCATCCTTTCTGTGTTTTAAGACTCCTCTTTCC